CACTCCAGCAGGGCTCGGTGGCTCAGCCTGTAATCCTGTGCCGTTGGGAGCCTGAGGTGAGTGGATTGCCTGAGCCCGTGGGTTCGAGACCCGCCTGGGCAGCGAGACCTCATCTCTACAACAAATCAAAAAATCAGCCGGGTGTGGTAGCGCATGCATGTAATTCCGGCTACTCAGAAGGCTGAGGTGGAAGGATCGCCGAAGCCCAGCAGGTCGAGGCTGCGGTGGCCGGGAGCAGCCACTGCACTCCAGTCTGAGAGACCGAGTGAGACTCCAACTCAAAAAAAAAAAAAAAAAAAGATTTCACTCCATAAATAAAATAGGAAGTTGTACGTGCACAGATTCTGCAAATACTACCTCAGTCTATTCAAAAGTTGGTTTTCTGCATCCTTACTTCTACTCGATTATGTTCCAGATAGGATTACAGTTGACCTCTGAACAACATGGGTTTTAACTGCACAGACCCCTTTATATATAAATTTTTTTCCAATCAAATGGTATAGAAAACACGTATCTATTGAGGGCTAACTTGACTTTTCATATGCGTGCATTCCACGGAGCCAACTGCAGGGCTCACTGTGACCAAATGTTGGTACACGCAAGGGGGCAGCGTGCAGACTGGGACCAATCCCCTGAAGATACTGAAGGACAACGGTACTGGATCCCTAACCTAATGAGCTATTACGAAATGAGCATAACTCCCAATTATTTTCATAAGCAACTATCAACCTAAAATGTACAATAATTCTAATAATAATTCTACATCTATATTTACTATTCCAACAACTAATACGATCCCAATAGGAACTCTTTTTTTTTTGAGTTGGAGTCTCACTCTTGTTGCCCAGGCTGGAGGGGTAGTGGCATGCTCCCGGCCACCGCAGCCTTGACTTGTTGGGCTCAGGAGATCCCTCTGCCTCAGCCTTCCAAGTAGCTGGAACCACAGGCACATACTACCACACCCAACTAATTTTTTATTTATTGTGGAGGCAATAAATCCCGCTAAGTTGCCCAGGTTGGTCTCAAACCCGTGGACTCAGGCAAAGTGGCCTCCCAAAGTGCTGGGATTACAGGCTGAGCCACCTAGTCCAGCCCTAGTATAAACTCTTTTTTAAAAACTTAATGTAGAAGTTTGTGTTTTAGTTCACTCTATTTTAACTATTCCAGAACGGATAGAAATGCAGAAAGATTGTAGGGAAAATACTCGATCTATTACATTATTACTTATAGATACCATAAGTCTTCCTATTACCACCACTTAGAAATTATCGAGCTGCTCTGCTCTTTAAAATTAATCCAAAGCACGTTCTTTCACCCTGACTCTTTGATTCTGTCTGTCAATGCAGAATGCCTCCCCTAGGGCTCCTCCATCAAAAGCTGAATCAAACGCACCAATCCTTTTACATCGCTCCAGACAATGTGGGTTCGAAGTATAAAGTGGATCTGAGGTATTGACCGAGTTAGGGAAGTGTGGGCTGAACGTAGGCAGTGATTACGGAATCAAGTGTCAGAGCATTCAGAGAAAAAAATGAAAAGGAGAAACCAAAATATGGTCAGCTGTGAGATACTGACTCTAAGGAAGTCATGAGTCAAAGCATCTTGTCCACATAAGAGCCAAGTGTAAAACAAGACACGCGTCATTGCTTCACACCTGGCCTTGGGCAGTGTTTCTCAAACTTTTGCATGGGTCAGACTCATCTGCTAGGGCTACCAAGACCAAGAGACCTGCCCCCCCCCGCCCCTCCAGCACGCCACCCTCACCCTATCCGGATCCTAACAACAACCACTTAAACCCCCCCTCCGCCCCCCACCAGAGGGTCTCATTCAGCAGGTCTCCCATGAGCTCAACAGCCTGCATTTCTAATAAGCAACCACGTGATACTCATTCTGCTGGCCCATGAATCAACGATGACGGCTGAAAGGGTTTAGTCTTTTTGCCTCATCATAACCCATTAGAAAGCGTTCAGACATCCTACTGCAGGACAAGCAGCAGCCTATCCCATCCCCCCTCGGCAAATCTCCCTCAGATGCAAAACCAGGACAACCCAACCTTTCAATTCATGATTTAGCATAATCATCTCTAGGAAACTTTTAGGTTCCTTGTCAAGGCCGAAGGTCAAAGATCACCCGTTGGCTGGCTAAAGTCATAAAAGTGATAATAGGACCACCTCTGGTCAAGGAGTTTGTGAATTGCAAATTTCTAACACATCTCTTGCAGGAACCCCCACCCCAGGATTAACCAAATCAGCCCTTGGTGACCTACATAAACCCCACTATGGCAGCAATCATGTGACTAACCCACCCAACTGCCTGCTGTCCATCACCTGATGTCAATACCTGCACTTGCCGGCCCCTCTGTGATGAGGTGGAGTAGGCCACCACCCAATCACCTTAATGATCTTTCCCCATCAAGGAAATGGTTAAAAGGACTCAACCACAAGCAGCCTGCAGCCACTGCCTTGCTAGACTCTGGTGTGGACGTGTGCTCTGAGCTAAGGCTGTCGCCAGGCTTCCTGGCTCTGGCCCCTCCCCCACCCTGGGGAGGTGAATCTTCTCTCTTCCTTCTCTTTCTCTCTCTGATTTACTTTTAAATAAACTTCTCTTTTTCTTAACCTCTTTGTGTGTTACAATTCTTTGCATTTACTCAGATCTCTGGGTTACCGGTGCCGTGCCTCCCCTTACCTCTCCAGCACGCCACCCTCACCCTATCAGAACCCTAACAACATTCACCTAAACACTAGCATGGAGACTTTGGTGGTTGGTCCTTTTTTAAGATCCTACAAGGAAGCTCTCTAGCTATGAAAGAGCCAGTACCTTTGTGACCTCCATGAAGCCACTGAGCATCAAGAAGGCATTCAGAGTTAGCATGCTTGATTGGAAATGACACATAACCAATCATAAGAAAACTTCTGGAAACATTTTGGACCCTAAACCTCATCAGAGTCTTTCATCTCTCCCAGGGCCAAGCTTAGGACACATTTTCAAGCTCTTAGCTGGAATCCTATAGCATTAAATAGTTCTCTGACCAATTCTGGTTTTAAAATTTGCAGCAAAGTGAATATTACTTTTTCAAATGTTTCTTAGTCTTCATTTATTTAAATACTGAAAAATTTCTGCATTAATTGGCTATAATAGCTGACTGACATTACAAATATAATAACCGTAGGATATCCAAAGTTATCAAAAAAATCAGTTTCATCAAAAAGCTAGTCAGTATATACCATCTTGAAGATTTTAAATTCTTACATTCATTACTTTTTTATTCCATAACAAGATACAGATCCTAATAGAGTCCATTAAAAAATCTAGAGTCAATTTACAATCTATTTTTAAATTTTAAATTTAAAAGCAACCTGGAACTCTGATAAATTTCCAATGGAAGTGTAAAATGACACAACCACTTTGAAAAACCCATCAATAGGGGAATGAATAAATTGAAACATAAGCCCAGTTGCACGGGCCAAGAATAATCTGTGATATATTCATACAATGAAATGCTACTTATTCAATAATACCATACATGCCTCAGATTTGTGGGTGTTCTTTTCTTCACAGCCAAGAAGCATTTCCAAGTTAATTCATTGGCAGGCTGGCTCCAGAAACTATTCACTATTCACTATTCATTAGCAATAGACTAATACTATTCACAAGACATTAGCTTGAAGAAGAGAGACAAGGCAAGTTACTTTCCTTAGTAGTTACAATTAGAATACTTAAAATAACAAGAAAAATTATTATTACTTGGTGGGAATAACAATAACGAACCCCTTATCAACAAGGGTGCCTGAATGAAACATATTTGTATATCTAACCCTTAACTGTACTCCACAATATCAAAATAAAAAATATTGATTAATAAAATAAACAACAAACAATATTCATACAGTGTAATGACAATGTCCATTACTTAGCATTGCACCTAGTTGTACAATATTATTGTAGTAGAAATGAACAATGAATATTCATACAATGGACTGCTACTCAGCAACGAAAAATGAATAAACTACTAATACAAGCAACAACATGAATGCATTCCGAGACATCAGGTTGAGCAAAAGAAGGGAAACACAAAAGTCCATATACTGTGTGATTTCATGAAGCCCAAAAACATGCACAACTAATCTGACAGCAATCAGAAAGTGGCTGAGTTTAGGGTCAGGAGACTGGATTGTCAGCGAAGAGGCAGAAGGAGCTTCCAGGAGTGGCTAAGGTGTTCTACATCTTGTTCTTCCCAGTGCTTACAGGGAGATATAGGGCTGTCAAAAACCCATCAATCAAGCCTTAATATCCAAGCATTTTACTGTACGAAAATTACATCACAACAAAACATACACTTTTAAACTTAACTGTAAGGAAAAGAATAACTTGCCAAGGCAATGTTTCTTGAATTCAACATAAAATGTACCTCAGACAGAACAAACTGTATGCTATTTAAAATTTCCAATACAGTTAAGACATAAGCAGTCGCAGATGCAAATTTACAGAATCATGATTTTGAGATGAAAGGTGGGTGACCGAACGTCTCAGTTTGCTTCAGACAGTCATCCTAGCGTAGAACTGACAGCACGGCGTAATTGCTAACACTGCCTCCTTCACAATAAAAAGCATCCCAGTTAGAAGAAGAAAGACCTTTACAGTCACGTTAGCTAACGGGGCCTTAGATAATATTTAGCAAAATGAGCTTATTTACTTTTTCAGTCAATCCACGTGTACTAAGCACCTACTAAGTAGTTAAACATAGTCCCTTTGTTCTTGCTACCACTTCGAACTGCTACTCTGTTTTCACAAGACAAATAGAAAATGGCTGAATGGATTTTTTCCCACATATAAAATATACACCTGAGAACAAAGGAAATATAGAAAAAAAAAATCAGAATGTTTTTGATAAGAAAAATATAATCGAGCTCATGGGGAAAAGAAGATAATTTTTGGAGCAATTAAAAAACAAAGCTTACAAAGATATTCACAAATATAAAATATAAAATAAAGAAAACCTTTACCTGCTGCCCTGTAAAGTATTTTAGGTTCAAAAAATATACAAGGATTTTTATCCTCTATGCATGACAAAAGAAGTCCTTTGGCCTGGAAAGGGCTTCTGGGTACAACCACCTGCAAAAACAGATTTTTTTGAAAGAAAAATTTTAGTAAAAATGTATCCCAGTAAACTCACTTATAAGAAGCACTGATATTCAAATAACCAATTGTTACTGATGAAAAGCAGAAAACTGGCATTTGTTTTTAGCCTAATTACCACTTATTAGGTTTATATATTGTGTTCCCCCCAAAATTCCTTTTGTCCAACAACTATTTATCAGATGCTTACCGTGCTCTGATAACTAAGATACTGCTCTGCTCTTAAGGAGCTAAACTGGCCTATATATTTTTTTTAAAAAAAGGAATCTGCAAAGAGCATTCATCAAAGCAAAAAAGTAATATTGTTATCTACTTGCATTTGCCTATAAATAGTTATCTACTTGCATTTGCCTATAAATAGTTATCTACTTGCATTTGCCTATAAATAGATATCTTCTACTAATTCTCTGCCACTACTTAATCAAAGTGCATGCAACTCTCTTGTCCAGTTTTAACATGCCAGAACCTCCTTCTTTCCGATGAGAAACAGTCTTTGTTTCATAGCTGAAAAAGTAATCCAGTGAATTTTAGAATTCAGGCACTACAAGGCCAGTTACGTGAGGCAGAGCAAAGGGACAAGTGTGGATACTCCACAGGTCCACGTCACAGGAACAGGCTCTAGGATCTTCTCGAGAATGAGGATGATGAGGAAGATGATAATGACAGGAGGATTTTCCATAGGTTAATTTGGCCAACAAGGCCTCTCTGAAGTCATTTATCTACTGCTTAGCCACCGCACTCGGCCGCTGTTAGCATTTTCCCCATTTTAGACATAGAGACTGGGGCTTAGAGAGAACAAGTAGCTCGCGTGAGTCAGCTCACACTGCTTGCTGGACCAGGGATTCTCACCTCATGCAGACTGATACCAAAGTCTCACAACTTCTATACTGTGTTGACTCAAATGACAAACCTGGGTTGAATTGGTAATGACTGTGCAATAATCATATAAAGACAAGTATTACACAGCAAGGGTTATCATTCAAATAAACCTGAATTCATCACAAAGACTAAAGTAAGGTTCCCTGAGGCAAACTATAATTGTCTTTCAAAGTTATTTTTATGCCATTTTTATTGAAGGATATAAATTAAAAAGCAGCACTAATGTCACCATTTTGTCTTCTGTAAATAGACCTCTGAACACATTAATAACCATATCGCATAACATCTTTATCTAATGTTTCTACTTTTTAGTCTCTCTTTATCACTTTCTTCATATTAACCTTTTGTGCTTTGCGTATATTTTTATTTGGGCCGAAAAATAAGAAAAAAGAAGTAGGAGGAAGGAAAGAGGAGGAGAAAAAGAGAAGGGAGGGGACTAAGAGGAAAGAATCCTTCTAGAAAACTCTGAGTGATGTTATAAATGTTAAATGTGAGTTAATGTTTAGCCAAGCACAAAAATAACTGTTGTCTCATATGTGGCTTCTCTACTAACCCATCACTTCTAGTTCACATTAAAAGAATCAGGCAGCCGGGCTTGGTGGCTCAGCCTGTAATTCCAAACAAGCATATAGTTAGATAAGTAAATGCGCGTGGTGCCAGGGTGTGTCTGGTGGGAAAAGGGAGAAAGCAGCTTCAAAAGCATGTCTTCAGGCTACATTCTAGGAGTAAGAGAGAAAAAAGAGCCGGGCTTGGTGGCTCAGCTTGTAATCCTTTGGGAGGCTGAGGTGAGTGGATTGCCTGAGCCCGTGGGTTCGAGACCCGTCTGGGCAGCGAGACCTCATCTCTACAATAAATCAAAAAATCAGCCGGGCGTGGTAGCGCATACCTGTAATTCTGGCTACTCGGAAGGCTGAGGCGGAAGGATCGCCAGAGCCTAGCAGGTCGAGGCTGCGGTAGCCGGGGAGCGGCCACTGCACTCCAGTCTGGGCAACAGAGTGAGATTCCAATTAAAAATAAAAATAAAAATAAAAATAAAAGAATCAGGCAACCTCGACTCAAGTCATAAGAAACTTCAAGATTTTAATCTGGTAGAAAAAACAAATAATACAATAAAAACAAAACTAAACACAGGTTCACAACCCATTCATGTGGTCAAAAAATAAAGACATATCTGAACTGACATATCTGTGGGTCTCTATAGTGATCCCCTACAAAGCTTATTTAGAAAATAAAAATGAAAAAGATATTAATATAAAAAATGAAGACATAAAATACTCAAAATATACTCTTCTTACCAAAATAACTAAGCTATTGTGAAAGGCAGGCTATAAAAGGGAAAAGGGAGCTGCTTCAGAATTGTTTGAGCAAATATTACCTTACTCTAGACAGAAAAAAATATATGTAGGCTCAGTCTATTTCACAAGTAAGAAACGGATTAAAAGGAAAAAGTCCTACCCCTCTGATTCTGAGGTAAATATAGACTAAACGGTAGATTTATTAAAATCACTCCAGAATCACTTGAGTGAGAAAGACTTAAGTTAGAAACAAACATAAAGCCCTGCAAAGAGAGGAAAGATAAACCAACAGTGTTCTCAGTCTTATTCTTTGAAGTCTATAATTAATGCCAGAGTCAAGCCAGTGCTGCTTTAAAAAGAACATTCTATAAAACTGGGCATTTGCCGGGCTTAGTGGCTCAGCCTGTAATCCCGGGCTTAGTGGCTCAGCCTGTAATCCCGCGCCTTGGGAGGCTGTGAGTTGATTGCCTGAGCCCAAGGGTTCGAGACCCGTCTGGGCAACTTGGTGAGAACTCATCTCTACAATAAATCCAAAAATTAGCCAGGCGTGGTAGCGCGCGCCTGTAGTTCCAGCTCCTTGGAAGGCTGAGGCGGAAGGATCGCCGGAGCCCAGCAGGTTGAGGCTGCGGTGGCCCGGAGCGGTCACTGCACTCCAGTCTGGGTGACGGAGTAAGACTCCAACTTAAAAACAAACAAACAAACAAAAAAAAAACCTGGGCATTGGACAGCATATTTAAAAGAACTGCTAGGTTCCCTTACTTAAATGCAGGTAAGTTTGCACAAATTCCAAAGCACTGTTTTTCTAGAATTCTTCTAGAAAGGCATATTCGATCATATTAACAGAATCAGCCAAAATGGAAACGTCAAACAGAGATCAAATAAAGTACATAAATGAGGATACCTTGATTCCTGGACAATGAGCAAAAAAAGCTTCAGGACTCTGAGAATGATAGAGAGCCCCGTGGCCAACACAGCCCCAAGGGGCCCGGATAGTGAGGCTTCCACAGTTAAAAAGATCCCCAGAGCGGTAGCGGTACTTGGCAGCTTCATTCACAATCTGAGGAAGAAAGAAAAAAGGGACATGTCACAGTGAGGCCTTCCTCCCCAACCATTCTCTCAGATCTTTAAATACATGCTCATAACAAAATGGTGACTGTAATACACGAGCTCACAGTAACAAAACATCCTTGGGACGGGGAGGGGGGGTGAAAGGGTAGAGGCAATACTTAAAACTAGAGAAATGCACGTGAACGGTAAAATGCAACGTACTTACCTGATCAAAAGCAGGAAAGATGTAATCTGCAAACTGAATTTCTGCAATGGCAGTAGCACCAGTGACAGCGATTCCGATTCCAAATCCAACAATTCCTTGTTCACACAACGGAGTATTAAAAACCCGATCCTTCCCTGAGAAAAAAAAAAAAGTGACGTTGACATGGCAATGAGAGTCATGGAATGCACAACACATTCAAAAATGCAGCAAATTAATACTAATGAAATGGAGAAACAGTACAGGTAGAGGGAATAGAAAATAAATAGCGTGACTGCTTATTTTAGTGCAATCAGCAATTATACTTAATTATATTAACTGTAAATAATGTAAGTGTTCCAATGAAACAAAAGATTGTCACACTGAAATAAAAGAAAGTAAAATTCAACTACTTAAAGGAAAACACAAACTAAAGTAAATAAAAGTTGTAAGAAAAAAGAAGGAAAAAATGCACAATGAAAAAACCTAACCCCCAAAAAGTTGGTGTCATTATATTTTTAATAGCAGACAAAGTAGACTTTAAGGGAAAAGGTATACCAGAGATAAAAAGGGAATATCCATACTGTTACAAAGCTCAGTTGACAGGAAAGACATACCAATTCTAAATGTAAACTCATCTAACACAGGGCTCCACATAAATGGGAAAAATTAACACAACTAAAAGGCGAAATGGACAAATTCACAACATGTGGGAGATTTTTAACATACCAGGCTTAATAATAGACAGAGAAAGCATGCCAAAAAGGGAGGAATACAAAAAACTTACAGATGTAAGCATGATCAATAAACATGGCCTAACTGACATACACAGGACCCTGCACCCAACAGCGAAGAAAACAAACCTTATTCAAGTAGACAGCAAACCCTGACATTACCTAACCATATACTGAGCTATAAATCCAATCTCAGCAAATTTTAAAAGATTAAAATCATACATATTTTCTGACTATGATGGAGCTAAGTTAGAAATCAATAATAAAACGATAATTAGAAAATCTTTGTTAGAAAGTTTTAATACATGTGCAATAATACCCACAGCTCAAGAAGAAACTGTAATGGAAATCAGAAAGCATATTAAACCGAATCATGACGAAAACACGATGTATCAAAATGTATTGGAGTTCTGAAGGTAATGGCAGAGTTACGTCCTTCAGACTATCCTTCCTGTATTTAATGATTGTAAATTAGGCAAAATATAACAAATAACCACATAAAGGCACAGAAGGGCCAAAAGGAGGCATAAACTGAAGGGGTCTTGACCCTTGGAAGGAGAAAGGGAAGGGTGAGCATGACATTCCTAAGGTTTGTTCTAGGAGGAATACCCAGTATGCATCAGGACAGCTAGAATTCAGGAAAACAAACTCCTCTCGCAGGCATGAGGTGTCAGAAAATAAACAGCCTGGGGCGACCGGTGGTTGAAAACGAGTGGGGGGGACATCTAAGGAGGAAGCCACAAAATCTGTGCCTTCCCTGCTCAGATCCTTGGCCACGCTTGTGCCCACAGAACACGCCAAAAGCCCAGCAGCAAAAAACCTGCGCAGACTCAAAAAGCTGGGCAGGCCAGGCACTGTGATTCATGCCTGTAATCCCAACATTTTGGGAGGCTGAGGTGGGAGGATGATTTGAGGCCAAAAGTTAGAAACCAAGTCAACATAGTGAGACCAGTCTCTACAATTGAATTTCTTTAAAAAATTAGTCAGATGTGGTGGCATGTGCCTGTACTCCCAGCTACTTGGGGGACTGAGGCAGGAAAATTGCTTGAGCCCAGAAGCTCGAGGCTGCAGTAAGCTATGATCACGCCACTGCACTACAGCTCAGATGATAGAGTAAGACCCTATCTCTTAGAAAAATAAAAATTAAAAAGAGCTGAACAGAGAATTCAGCTGGGCTCACTAAAGAGGACACAGAATCTGGAGTTTGAGAATCTTCAAATTGGAAGCGTTTCACAATATCTTGGTCCATTCAAACCACAAGGTACAACTTTATTAACGTACTCAATTCTCACTTGGCATTTCACCATCTCTCAGCTAATGCCACCATTCTATTAGAAATGTTTATTCCAGGGGTCCAGACGGAACACAATGGCCACAGTCTGGCCATGTAAAGTTTTGGGACAGATCTGAGCCTCACGTTTCATTTCCACAATCCGGCGATACCAGTTATTTTTTGTATACAGAGTTCACTTTCAGCTCAATCATTACCTTTGAATATGAACCAAAAATGGGACAGGTATTGGGAAATGCCAACCAGACACATCTTGTAGTTTGCAACTCTAAAAGCAGCTGCAAGAACGTCAAGCGTGAGTCACACTTACCATGATCTGTGACTATCTTCTGAAACTGTGACCTCTAGCCCTCATCAATTCCCTATTCGTCTGTGAGTAGCTTGATAATTTTTGAAAACCTATGATTCCACTGAACAACTCAGTGGTGGAAACAACTGAGTGGTGGAAAATAAACATGCATTCCAGTTGCTCCCCATCCCTGTAATACCTGAACCACCTTAACCAAACAAGGAGCTTTCTTACTTATTCCTGCTGCTTCAAGCTCAGGGATTCAGAGGTGTCTCATCCTGGTATGAAAGTATAGTCCACTTGCCACTAGAAGTCAGGAAAGGTAAGTTCCTCAGAAATCTCCTGCCCCAAAATGTGTTTGGTTTGAGGAAACAGTTTAACAAGTCTCTCCAACAAGTTTCCGTGATCTAGCAGAAACTGCTTCAATGTGAACAAAATACTAAAAATACATTTCTTTTTTCTCCCAGACACTGACTGGAGGCAGAAGCACAAATAAGATACACAGTACTGACGGCTTCTGCTCTCCGTAACGAGAGTCGCCTGATGTGAGGTCCATGCACATAGCATCCCAGTGGAGGACCAGACCCAGGCAGCGACTGCTCTAGCAAGCAAGTCAGACCTGGGTCAGAGAGTTTTCACACCAAATCACTAAACCCCCTAAGGTTCCCTTTCTTATCTGTAACAGAAAAATCAGGATACTGAAAAGATCAAGTAATTCTCACTTGTATTCAACAAATGTGTGTAAAGTACTTTGCACTGCATAGATACTTTCCTAAGTGCTAGGGATAACAGTAGCAAACAACCTCTCCCCCACAGCCCTCCCTCACACAAAAAAATCACATCCTCGTGAAGTTTACCATCAGAGAAAATAAAAAATAAAAACAAAATAAATAAGTCAAACATATAACGTGCTAGATGATGAACCAGGGAGCAGATGATGGGGTGAAGGGAACTCCCATAAATTTAAACAGGGAGACAGGAAAGGCTTCCCTGAGGGGTGACATTTAAGCAGTGAGTGAAAGACATAAGGAAGTGCACCATGCCCACATCCAAGGAAACAGATGTTCCGGGCAGAGAGACCAGGAAATGCAAAGACCCTGGTGTCACAGTATGTCTAGCACATCAGAGGAAAGGCAAGAAGTCCAGAGTGCCTGGTCTAGAGGCAAGGGAACTGGAGAAAGGAGATACAGTCAAACAGTTAAGAGGACGGGATGGGGAGGTGGCAGATCCCAGCTGAATCTTACTGTGAGAATGAACGAGTCAGAAAGCAGGTGAGTGAGAGACAGAAAGTCACTGAGCAGAGTCGTGCATTCTGAGTTGCACTTCAACAGGGGCCCTCTGGCTGGTATTTTGAGAACAGCCTGTCAACAGCCAGGGTGGACACAGCAGGACTGATTACAGGATACTGCAATAATCCTGGCGAGAGATAACAACACATAATAGCAGAGAAGGTGAGCAACTCTGGACATGTGCTTAAGATAGAGCTAACAGGATCTGCAGATGAAACGGATGTGAAGCATGAGTCAGAGAAAGACTAAGGATGATTCAGAAGCTTCTGGCCTGAGTAAACTGAAGGTCAGAGTTGTCAGTATCTGAGAAAGGAAAAACCATGAAAGAGCATGTTGGGATAAGAGACCAGGAGTTCAGATCTGCAGGTTCAGTTCAGGAGTTCAGGTTTCCTTTGAGATGCCTTCAGACGTTCAAGTGGATACATGAGCTGAAACCCTTTAGCATAAAAACAGCTTTTAATAACAAGGGATGGGATGAGACTCCTTAGTAAAGTTAAACAGGTATGTGGGGAAAAGGGAAAGATCTTGGGTCGTGTCCCAGACACTCCGACGTGAAGAAGGCAGCAGGTAGAAATAATCAGCAAAGTTGAGAAGGGAAAAAAGAAGTCCAAGAGCGGGAAGGAAAACTAGGAGAATGTGCTGTTCCAGAAGAAAGGGTTTCCAAGAAGAGGGTGATTAGTTGTGCCAGATGCTGTTATCACAAAGTGAGAGGAGAGCTGTGAATTTTAGCACTGGTGACCCTGACATGACAGTTTCTGCAAAGTAAGAGAGGAGGAGAAAACAAAAAGCTTAACTGCAGTGACTTCAAGTGAGAACAGGGCAGAGAGGTTGAAGGGGATGAGTAGTGACAATTATGTGGAGAAATTTTCCTGTACAGGAGAGAAGAGGCAGGGAGCGGCCACTAGCTGGAGGGACGTGGGGTCAGAAGGGGTTTTTAAGATGGAAGAAACAACAGCACATCTGCAGGCTCGGTAGAGACGGAAATTGATTATTTTGAGAAAAATATTGAGATGAAGGGAAGGAGTAATCATTGGATCCATGTCCTCGAGAAGGGGTTGAGGGAAGAAGGGGTCTCATGTGGAGGGGGTGACAGGAATCCTTACATTCACTCAGAGTACAGGCGCAAAGGGAGGGTATGGGCCCAGATGCCAGGTCATGGAAATGTGCAGTGTGAGAACCTGTCTAAGTGCTCCATGAGTGGCATCCATCTTTACAGAAAAATGTAGAGTCAGATTACTAGCTAAGAGCAAGGAGGGGGGAAGCAGTTTTTTTTTGTGGGGGGGGGCGGAGAAAGTCTGAAACAGGCATCCAGGAACATGAAAAACTGAAAGGACCAGGAACATGTAGCATGACGGCAGGCCCCCAGGGGTTAACCAGCCTTACCAGGTGAGGACCCTAGAGGTTACTAGCCTTGAACTTGAATACCAGTTGGCATGATACCATGCTTCACATGCCAGTACTGGTTAGCACAGGATTTAGACAGACAAGTGGATTTAACTAGGAATAGATTTTGCCCAGAAAATACTGACACGAAATTGAAACTGGATGCAAAAGG